CCCATCAAAGAGTCATAAATCATTTTTAACAGGAGCTACACAGGTATACTACTCACATCCACACCTTCCAACACATTTACTCATATTTTGTACCCTTGAAAAGCAGCCAGCCAAAACCTGCAACTTGCATAATTCATGCCAATGTATGAATATTTCATAATTTCTGATACTGCTCTAAGGATGGGACAGAAATTTGTTATTTCGACTTATGGCAACCCTTTAAATGAAAGACCTCCAAGTCACCAACAGCCTTGCTCAGAAACAGTAATGTACAAATTAAAATAATTTGCCCTCCATGTTTCCCCAGATGAGTTCTTCTCATCCACTCTGTTATTTGCAGAGCATAATTTTCAGTATTTTTTCACCCTACTAGATGTGGGGTGGAAAATATTACACAAAATAATACATGCATTTTTCTTCAAAGCATTATTTTGTGTAGTCAGATACACATTTTTGTATATGCAAAAATGTGTTTCTTCTCCTTTCTCTTTTATTTGCATCTCTTTGATCAACATCCATCACTTTCAAAGTAACACATTTCCCCAACTTATACACTTTAATATCTCCATAAATGTCAAGAGTAAAGGATCCTTCCCACACGGCCACAGATTCTGATGAGAAAAGCATGATGTGGATGCTGTCTCTTCACAACAAGGAAAATCTGGTACCAGTGGATTCAACAGCTAATTTTATCATCACCCCAACTGGAAATATTGATACTTGATAGCTAATCTGAAAACTACGCTCACGTCCCATTCTAAGATGTCACCACATAGCTTTACAATCCTGTCTTTAAACACTTAAGGACTAGAAACTTGCTTTTCTGTGCTTAATAATGGGGTGAGATGGTCAGAATGCTCCCTGCTGTGACTAAAGTGGTATAGTAGTGGAACATGGAAAAAACATCAGCTTTGATCTTAAAGGGTGAAAACCTCCTTCAGCATTATTCCAACCACTTCCAAATTCCTGTTGCAACAAGAGAATGGACTGAGGAGAGAGGAGGCAAAATGGGTGACCTATTCTTGAGTTGCTCTGATTCTTATCTGAAAGAGCCATTTTAAAAATACAATGCTTCGGGAGATGGCTTACCTCAGTACTTCTGTATATGAGTTAATTACCATTTCCTATATCAAAATGGAATGTGACATGATTTATGTCTGCACCACCAATGCCAGATTCATTAGAAAAAAAAAAGGTTTGGGACAAAGGTTTTAAAACATAGCACACTTTGGCTAGTATATACCTGCGAGAGGCCAGCCGTAGGTGATTGACTAATCTGCCAAGACTGTACTCAAAATGTGGGAACTGGGGGTAGAGACACATTGATTCAAAATGACAAAGAGTTGAGTCAGCAATTGTATTCACACTTACATGGCGGTAAATCCCATTGAACACAGGAGAACATATTCCAAGTAAATAAGCACAGTGTTGCACTGGACATATCCCAAGAGTGGAATAAAATGTGTGTCTATAGGCCTAAGGAGATTGCCAGAAATAGTGCACATTAAATTGAGGCACTGCCCTGGCTCAGTGCTAGGGAGTCATGGGAATTGTATTTTTTTCTGGGATGTTGAACCTTCTCTGTCAGAGAGCTCTGGTGCCACAATAAATTACAGTTCCCATGATTCCCTAGCCCTGAGCCAGGGCAGTGCCTCAATTTAATGTGCACTATTTCTGGCAGTCTGCTTAGGCCCTATGTCTTCAAGTCGCCTGTTGACTTATGGTGACCACATGAATTTCTAAGATTTTCTTTTTAGGCAAGGAATACTCAAAAGTGGTTTTGCCAGTTCTTTCCTCTGCCTACAGCACTAGTATTTGTTGTCTGTCTCCCACTGACATAGGGCCTTTGCAGACTGCCAGAAATAGTGCAAATTGAGTCCACTTTAATGGTTAGGGTTAGTGCTAGGGAATCATGGGAATTGTATTTTTTTCTGAGACATTGAGCCTTCTCTGTCAGAGAGCTCTGGTGCCACAATAAAATACAGTTCCCATGATTCCCTAACCCTAACCCTAACTCTGAAAGTGGACTCAATTTGCACTATTTCTGGCAGTCTGCAAATGCCCATACTAACCAGGGCTGATCCTAGTTAGCTTCCATGAACAGGCAGGACCTGGTATCTTTAGGGCATTTAGACCATTACCTCAGGACTTTGAACTTTGTAGATCAATCATTTAAATTTTTAGTTCATTAATAGGTGAAGCCCAGTTTTAATCACCAATACAAGTAACATGTCTGTGCAGGAGTACATATTTGACTCACACTTTTTAGGTGGTATTTTTCATAGAATCATAGAACTGGAAGAGAGATCAAGGTTTCTGAGCACCATAATTCAAGAAGGATGTTGACAAACTGGAGCATGTCCAGAGGAAGGCAACTAACATGGTGAAAGGCCTAGAAATTATGCTCTATGAGGAGAAGCTTAGGAAGCCAGGTATGTTTAGCCTGGGGAAGAGAAGGTTAAGACATGACATGATAGCCTTGTTTAAATATTTGAACTGATACCATATGGAAGAAGGAGCAGGCTTGTTTTCTGCTGCTTGAAAGATTAGGACACAGGGCAATGGATTCAAACTATAGGATAAGAAATTCCACCTAAACATTAGGAAGAACTTCCTGACAACAAGAGTTGTTCAACAGTGGGGCATGCTGCCCCAGAGAGTGATGGAGTCTCCTTCTTCTGAGGTTGTATCAGGTTGAATGGCCATCTGTCAGGAGGATTTTGATTATGTATTCTTATATGGCAAGGAGTTGGACTAGATGGCTCTTGGAGGCTCTCCCAACTCTATGATCCTATGATTCTATGGCCTGTAGGAAGGGTCTGGGAGAGAGATGAGTTTAGAATGGGGGAGGAGGGAGTTTTGGATCTATAATACCCACGCTAGGAGGTTCTACAATTTGGAGGCCAAACGATAAACTATTCCAAGATCTGAGGAAGTCGGTTCAAGCATCTGAGGAAGTAGATTCAAGTCACAAAAAGCTCATGCTACCAACCTCTTTCTTTTAGCTGCTATAAGATCCCTTTGCATACTGATATTCCAAACTCAGTGTTTGAAAACCCCTCTCTTTTATACTGTATGGGTCAAAATGATAACCCACTGACAACCAGTTGCAACTTTCTATGGGTAATGCATATTTGCTCTCACACACCAAAGGCTATTCCATGCCCTTCCACTGACCTCCATCCCCTGCTCCAAGGCTACTTGCTAGCTGAACACAATTAAATCTCATTAAGCTGTCAGGGAGCAGGATTGAGACATGGAGCTCTAGAAGTCTTCCTTACTCTTGGCACTGCTCTACCGTACCCATTTGAATAGTCAGAAACTTCCCCATTGCCCTGGAGCTTTTAATAAAGCCTGAGGTATAGAGGAGCAAAGATTTGCTAAAGAAAAATCCCAAGATCTGGGTTGTAATTTTTGTGTGTTTGTGTTATCCCTATAGTCTTGCTTCCATATTTTGTAACAAATTGATGTCGAAAAATCTAGGTAAAGGATGGGCTGGGTTTTAGCAATGGCTCAGCCAGTGTGGTGTAGTGGTTTGAGTGTTTGACTATGACTCTGGAGATCAGGGTTCGATTGCCCACTCAAGCACAGAAACCCACTGGGTGACCTTGGGCAATTCATACTCTCTCAGCTTCAGAGGAGGGCAATGGCAAACCCACTTTAAAGAAACTTGCCAAGAAAACCATATGATAGTTTTACCTTAAGGTTGCCATAAGTAAAAAATGACTTGGAGGCACACAAAAACAGTAGCCACTCTTCACAGGATAGGCTTAACATGGCACTAATGGGAAGCGGGAAACTCTAGGTCATCCTATTCTCATCCTATATTTTCAGATATTGACAGGAGCTGTTCACTGGGCCTTGATTAAATTGAATCCAGAAGCCTATAAAATAATTTTGGGGACTGAATATCCAGTATCATCCAGCCAGCAACCATTGTAGCCATTTTAGCTGGGAGATTTGTAGTCCAGAAATATAACTTTGCTGAGCTCTGAGATTATAGTTTCTCACATAATCAACATGTGGAATGGAAAAGCAGCCCATAACTTTTTGCCTCCTCCTTTAACCTGACACATTGGACATTATCACACGCGGGGTCTCAAAGCGGCAAGAAAGCGGCATGGAATCAATCCAGAACCATACCGGAATGGACCCCACAAGAAAGCAGCATCATTCCGGTATGATTCTTGATTATTCTGGTCGCGGCAAGTGTAATTCCTTTTTCAAAAAGGAACTGAAAAGAATGGGGATGATGCCGCAATGCGCCGGGGATGAGACGGGATGGGGCGGGGTTTGCTGCGACGTTGTGTGAACACATGAAAAAAGGATCCGGAATGATGCTGCAATGCACCGGGGATGGCACTGGATGGGGCGGGGTTTGCTGCGACGTAGTGTGAACACACGAAAAAAGGATCCGGAATGATTCCGCAATGTGCCGGGGATGGCACTGGATGGGGCGGGGTTTGCTGCGACGTCATGTGAACACAGAGGCAAAGGATCCGGAATGATGCCGCAATGCGCCGGGGATGCCACTGCTTTAGACCCCATGTGATAACGTCCATTGATTCATCCCTCTATGCAGCATTGCCCCACACTCACAAAAAATGCAGGGGGTACAGATCTCTGCAGAGAACCCAATTATCATGTGCAGGTCAGAAAGAGGGACTTCTTGCTTTTGGGGTGGGTCACTTGTGTCCATGCACATATTGTTGGACTGAAACTCCCATTAACCCCAGCCTGCATACCCAGTGGCATGCTGGGAGCTGCAATTCCAACAATATCTGGAGTGCCACAAGGTGAACATCTCTGATTTACATGTTTTAATCAAAGCTTTGAACAAAAGGCTTATAGGTAGGCATGTTACCCACAACACTTTTGCAGGAATAGCAGGGCATAACAACATTCATTAGGCAAATAATGTAATGACTGGTAACTGGTAATTAATTGCCAGTGAGCAGTAAAGAAGCATGAGTTACATAGGGAAGACCTATCCCAGAAGCCTTGGTTTAACATTGTATTGTTGTTAACTCTCCCCCTGCCCCCCCCCACCCCCATGTAATGAGCAAAGCTTACTTATTAACTCTTCTCTTTCTCTTTTGGAGGGGTCTAACATATGCTCTCTTGGGGCATTTTGAACATTTTTAAAAACTTTAGGCCATTCCACCCACCCCCCTACACACAAAAATCAAGAAAGAAAAGAAGTAATGGAGTTTAAACTGGTCAAATTTTTCACAGTCAGAAGTTACTTGTCGGTGGAGCTTTGTAACAAGTGGCATGACAAATTATATTTCAAACTTTCTTTCCAAAATCTGGGTTGAGTACTCTGTGTGGAAATTACTTTTCTCCATGTTCTTGAGAATGTAAGAAAGCTGGCAGCAGCCCTCTGTATTCATGAATTTGGCATCCACGGAGTCAACCTGCACACCTTGGAAAATATTTTTTAAAATATATATTCCAAAAAGCAAACCTTGATTTTGCCATTTTATTTTAGGGACACCTTTTTACTATCCTATTGTATTTAATGGGACTTGTGCATCCATGGATTTTGGTATCCACAGGGAACCTGGAACCAAACCCCAGCAGATATCGAGGGTAAATGTAGTGACTAGAGTTTTCATGTTGGTAGGGTGATAAATACACTCTGGGCTGTAGAACAACCTTTAAAAGAACTATTCAAGGGGCTTACCCTGCTTGGGTAAGAAAGGTCAAAACATGGAGGGTTCCTTTAAACCTAGACTGAAACCAGTGTGAATTGATCATACTACGGACATGAAAGCCATAATCTGCCAGAATCTATCCATCTGGCTCAGTATTGTCTACTACAGCCTGATCTAGCTTAGTATCCTCCAGGTAAGTTACATCTCCCATTATCCCCAGCCAGCATAGTATCCTGGCTGGGGATAATCCATGCAATAGTGCAACATATCTGGAAACATACGAGGGTGGAAAACACTGATGTACACTGATTAGCAATGGACTTCCAGTGCTTCAGGCAGGGATATTTCTTGGCCCTCCCTGGAAAAAGCAGGGCTGAACCGGAAACCTTCTGCTTACAAAACCTGTAGTCTCTGCCACT